GGTTATAGGGTTTAAAGTTTAGGGTTTAGTTGGGATTTTGGTTCACCAACTTTTGGTGCCAAAGTGTCGGAGTACCAGATGCAATCGTCAAATGCACAGCTGCCAGCGTGGGCCATGCTCCCATTCCTCGCTGATGCACACTAGGGTTTAGGGTTTAGGGTTACCTACTTTGGGGTCTAAAGTCTATAAATAATAGTACCTACTTTGGGCTATTTGGAGTCCCAGGGTAGGGTTTAGGGAAAGTTCAGGGTTCAGGGATTGCGCATACTGACACAATTGCGAACTGTAGGAGAAATAAATAAGTACGCAACGCCGGCCAAAAGGCCACAACGGATTGCTGAGATGCTACCGGCGCCCTTGCAGAAGTAATCTTCGTTCACGTTTCCGGATTATGTATGCACAAAAATCCTAAGGTTGAGGTCTGCCTACCCAAACTCAGACACGAAGATGAAACCCGACTGCAGAACTCAGAGGGCTGATTCTCCTGGAATTCCTCAATAGTAACGTCAGAGCTCTCTTCTGGGAACCCCACTGACTGAGCACGTCAATCCAAGACCCTCATAAAAAAAAATAGCAACCTACCCTCATCACTCATCATTCTAAAACTCGTCCCAACTTCTCTTGAAAGCCCTCTATATAGAGTCTAGAGACCCTTATAGATCCCCGCACCCTCAGCCCCCTACGAATCTTAATATCCCTGCCCATCCCCTCCTCCTCACCCTCCCCTAAACCCTAAACCCTAAACCCTAATCCCAAAGAACAAGCGCCCCAGGCGCTGACGCGTTGACGGAGGCCAGGTCAGGACCCCGTGGCCGAGCACCGAAGGCGCGCTCCTCGGAACAACAGCACGAGAATGACCATCTCTCTCTCTCTCTCTCTCTTTCTATACGTGTGTATATATATATAGATATAAATGCATACATATGTATATATACATATGTATATACATATGTATATATGAATATTATATATATATATAGACACATACACATCGTATGTATATAAACGTATATACGCAGACTCTAGTTGCAGTAATTGTCTGTGTCTTCGTTAGTACTGCTGATAGCAGCAATCACGGCCATCACACCTGCTAGAACTATGGCCCTTCACTCTCACCAGCGTTGATGTTAGCCCTCCAGTGACCTTTCGGGTTTAGGGTTCTAGGTACAAACCACACTTGCAGGGGACTTCCAGCTCACGCACGCAGGCTCTGCTTGTTTCTGCGGGATATGTAGCGTATCCTAGAAGGCGCCATGTAAGCCGGAGGCAAACAAGCCTGGACGATGAGCCATTTTCATTGAGGAGTCATTCTTAACATTGAACTTCGAGGTATTTGTTGACTGTGAATCTGCTACGGTAATTGATTGACTCAACATGATTAGGATTCATAAGCCCAGCTCGCATGCTGGCTTTCTTAATGACCCTTGACTCTCGTGAAGGCCACAGTGAGGGGGAGGGGGAGGGGAAGGGGAGGGAATGACTCAGAGGAATGAACCGATGGATTCCAGAGGAGAGAGGATCGTGCGCATGGTGTTCCGATGCTGCGCCCCTCAGCTCTAAATAAATCAGGCGGCACGATGAAAAGCAGCAGTGCAGTTGGAAGCGACATCGGTTGTCGACTGTGCGCGTTCCTTCCACTGATGACAGATGCAATGCCTGTCTTGAGCCCAACTTCAGTTGACTGTTGGTGGCAGCATGCCTAGTAGCATGCACTCTTTTTCCTCTTTTCCTGCTAGCAGCACCATTGCTGTCAACATGTTCTCATACAAAATATGGCTGCTTCTTCGCTTGCATCCATCTGTCTAGATACACAAGCAGCTGAACAGCAGGATTAGCAGGTAAAGGTATATGTAAAATGGATCGGTTGGTAGAGCGAGGTCGATTGCTAGAAGGCTCTGTATCGACACCCTTCAAGCTGACGAAGCTACTTCTCGATCGGCAATAAAATCAAAGCCACACTCTCCTTGCCCAACAAGACTGACCAGCTTTGGTCTTAGGTAGGTCTTGCAGGAGTAAAAGATCCTCACCCTAAACCCTAAACCCTAAACCCTAAACCCTAAACCCTAAATCCTAAACCCTAAAACCCTAAACCCTAAACCCCCAAACCCAAACCCAGGGTCTGGAACTCCTTAGTCTGTGCTTGGAGGGTCGGGGGGACTTCGTAAGTAGGTGATAAATAGACCTATCAGTACCCCTTAAAAGGGATCCTGATGGTGGTTATGATACAAATAAGTCCATGAAATAACTACTTACTGAGTCGCCCGGCCCTCCAAGCATGGTAGTCCGAAATGATCGAGCCCTTGCGACGCCAGATCTCTCACAGCCTAAAAGACCAAGCTCTCAACAATCATAAGGCCATCGTTTTTTGCTGAACCCGACATTCCCCCAAACTTTGGCCTAAACCCTTAAGCCCAAAACCCAGACCCTAAACCCTAAAACCCTGAAGCCACCAAAACCCTAAAAATCTTGAACTTTAAGCCCCAAAGCCCCCTAGATCTCCAAAGCCGTCGCCTTCTTGTCTTAAGGCCCAAAGCTTAAAGACCCTGAAGACCCTAAACCCTAAGACCCTAAACCGTCAACCCGGGTTTAGGGTTTAGGGCAAAGCTCAATCCCTGAAGACCCATCAGCCCACTTGTCAAGCTGCAACCGAAACTCGATGTTCCTGCTTTTGGGGCAAAGGGTCCTGTAGGGTATCCAATAGGGTTTCTTTGAGGGATTTAAGGTTGATTATAGGGGCCTTAAATAATTCGAAGAGGGTTTTAGGGTATATTTTGCTATAAGCATAATGAAGAACCCTTAAACTAATATTGGTATTTAGGCCCCTATATTTGGGTTTCAAGGGCTCTTTACAGAGTTCTAGAAGGGTTTCATGGTGCGGGGGTCTGAACACATAGAATAGGGTTTGCGGCTACAGTGTATTGTTTGGCATACTCAGAATAAGCAGCACCCGAAAATTGCATCACTGATTATTCCGGCCGCTAGATTACTGCGGCCCCTGAACCCAAATACCCAAGCCCCACAGAACCCGAAAACCTAGATACTGTAGGGCCTTAGAATAGGGCTTTAATTTGGGGGCTTCGTATTATATTTATATTACAATATACCCCCGAAGCCCTAGTCTAATTATCAAG